CGTAGTATTGGCAGCTGCATTATCTGCAGTAATTGTGAGTATCTTCTCATGTCCCCAATCAATCAAACAATTTTCAAGCAATTTCCCAATGCTCTCCCACTTATGACTATCAATTACACAAAAATTTAGGATCCTTTTGTGCATTTTATAGTCGGAATCCACAAAGTGGGAAGTCAACACCATATAATTCACATTTTGAACCGATGTCCAAGTATCGGTTGTAAGGGCATATCCTATGTGAACAAAGGTCAACTTTCAACTTCTCTTTCATTTTCATGTACATTTCTAGAAGTCTTCTTCTAAAAGTTATATGAGAAGGTGGATGAAATTGTGGGCGTGCAACACTACAAAATTCCCTAATCCCTTCACCCTCCACAAAGCTAAAAGGTAGCTTATCTCGCACTATCATTCTAATACAAACATCTAGACAATCATCCTTTTTAAAATTCATAGAAGCAAGAGCATTACCCTTTGATGCATCAAATGTGAGTGTCTGTATGTTCTTATCCTTGTGTCTATAAGGGTAATGCAAGCATTGTTTGTTTAGATGCTTCTACATGTTGCTAGTCCCATTTTTCTTAGTATCACTAGCATAAGTAACACTACAATACTTGCATTCAGTGGCGGATCCAGGATTATGTGGCCAAGGGGGCTTAGTGTAAAAGTTCCGAAATTTTTCTACAAAGAAAATAATGCTAAAAGATAGAAAGATAGTACTTCCATCATAATTCATAACAAAACCAATAATACAAGTTACAATTGTCGACGACAAGTTTTCATATTATGAAAACGTTGCATTATAATTTCGTTATCAATACAAGCAAAAACATATCTCTCAATGTAAACAATCAAGCTATCAATCAACCATTGATCTCCCATTCTGTTGCAAAGTGGATTTTTAATAATATTCATGGCGGAAAATGCCCTCTCCACTAAAGCAATTGCAACTGGTAAAACTAAAGCCAATGTAAGAAGCAAATACACATAAAGAAATATTTCATGCATTCCTTTCTGCACCATTTTTTCCGCAAGACTACTAATCCATTCAAATTGAGAAAAATCACTACTCGAACACATATGATGAACATAAACACCAAGTTGATCTTCAAGCATCAATAAGTCTCTATCCGAAAAATCATAAGGATAAAATTGAGCAAGACGAACTAGCTTTCGTTTGTCAAAAGCTACAAAGTTATTTTTCGGACTCAAGCATGCCAAACAAGTAAGTAACTCAGTACTTACCTCGTTGAAGCGATCATTTAGTTCCACAAGTTGTCCATCAATTACATGAATAAACATCTCCACACGATAACGATGATAATTTGTCTTCATTGGAGCATTACGCCGTGACCTCCCTGGAATTACATATTCCTCATCCATGGTAGGAACTATAATATCATGTTTGTAACAAATAGAAAGATAATATTTTAGAGGTTAATAATGTATGTGTATTTGTGTCTTTGAGATACACAAACGCACATACACATTAACATCCAAAAAATTGCCTCTGAAATTTGACGATGACAGCCTCAGATCTGCAATCAGAAAGACAATTGTTTGGAAGTTGATGATATGTGTGCGTTTGTGTATCTACACAAACGCACACACACAACAACATCCAAACAATTGCCTTCTAAAACTTCACGATGGCAGCCACAGATTTGCAATCAAAGAGACAATGTTTTGAAAATTGGTGATGTGTGTATGTTTGTGAATCAGATACACAAACATACACACACACCAACATTCAAACAATTGCCTCCTAAGAGATGAGATGAGACAGAGAAAGGGGCAAGAAGAAGTTGAAACCCTAATCGAATACTAAAACTGAAAGAACCCGTGAAAAAAAACCCTATTTATAATTAAAAAACCAAATCCACGTCGGTTATATTACACCTAACGACGTTTAACAAAAATAATCCACGTCGGGGAACAAATACATTACGTCGTCTTAGTCTTACTTAAGACGACAAAAAAAGACGACGGTATAACAAAAAACAGTCGTTGTTTTTATATTCGTATTTGATTTAAATCAGTCACCCAAAAAAGAAACTTTACAAATTCTAGAACAAAAAAAATTCTATTTATAATTATAAAAATAAAATCCACGTCGGTTATATTACACATAATGACGTTTTAAAAATGAATCCACGTCGCGAAAAAAAAATTGCGTCGTCTTAGTTTAAAAAAAGACGACGGTAGAACAGAAAACCATCGTTGCTTCAATTTCTTTAACCGTTCTCTTTCTGCAGGACTTGGATAGTTCAAAGCATTGACAGCTGAAGCCATCTGATTCGATTGCTCAGGCTTTAGAGGCCATTTGAAGCCATTTCTATTCTTTATCGCATTCTTGAAAACCCATCTTCTTCTTCAGAAGCTCTACAGATAAAGGAACAGGCTATCACAAATCTAACGGATCTTCTTAGCCAAGAAAATCGAGCAGAGGAGCACATCTGATCTTCAGGTTTCCCTGAGAAGCGAACTTTCCTTCGACAACGAGTGGAGGCCAGGCTTGCATCTCTTTTGATGGAAAGCAAGGAGTATTCAGAAGCACTAAGTCTCCTATCATGCTTGACAAGCTTCCTCTTGTGGACATAGATTTGTTGGAGAGTAAGCTCCATTTCTCTTTGAGAAAGACATCCAAATTATTGTCTTTGAGATGTGAGAGAGAGTGTTTGTGAGAGAGGAAGAACTTGGAAACCTAAATGAAAACTGAAACTGAAAGAAAGCGACAAATTTATACAATAAATTTTTAAAACCCATGGTGGTCCTTACACACAAACCGCCGTTTATTTATAAATTCCACGTCGGTATATTACACAAAAACGACGTATATTATAAAAATCAACGTCGGTATATTACAAAAAAACGTCGTGTCAAATACTTCTACCATGACGCGAGATATTGATTTATCGACTTTTATTTAGGAGTTTACTACGACGGTACCTACAACACTACTGTTGTATTTATTTACCACGTCCTAAGTTCAAATTATCGTCGTAGTTTGTTCATTTATATGTCGTCGTTCTATGTAAACCGCCTTCTTCTTATTATGAAACGGTTTGTATATATATACAACTTTTTGTCTACCTGACTTACACATGCACTATTTCCAAACCCGATAAAAAATTTCAATCTCCCAGAGAAAAATTTTCGTCTTTTTTCCTTGTCAGAGTACTGTCAGAGTATCTCATCGTCTTCCTCTCGTCTTCGTCATCGTCTCTGAACTTAAACACCAAACTCCGAGAGAAAGCTTTCATTGCACACAGAAGGTAAGGTTTCATTTCTCACTATTTTTGTTGCTACTTTGCATACTCATACGGTTTTTGTTTTGAAAATCTTTTTACCTTTTTTC